TTTAACGTTGTTTAACTCGTGTTATAAATGAAGCCTAAAATTATACTCACAGCTTCTCTTTAGATCTTTGCGGCACACAGAACTGCTAGCTCTACTAAATGGCACTCAGTTGGAAGACTCCTCTCACCCTTAGAAAGGCTTTGCGCTGCTGAAATGACTCACATCCCCTCTTCCAACCTCTGTCAACCATCACGAGGAGGTAAACATTTCCAAATATGGAGAAAATATGGAGACAGTATTGAGGGCAATATCAGTTTGGTTTGCTTTTAGCTAGGAATGCCAAACTATGCGAGCCACAGAGCCAGTTCTGTGGTGCATACCTCTCACTTGGAATAATAATGATGATGATTGCAGGGAACTTTTCGCAGTTGTTTGGGGTTCAGTCTGACCTAAGATGGATGAAAACGGGAGACTGTTATCTCAACTCTTACTTTTAAAGGATGAAACTAAATAGATAGGCCGACGAGAATTTTGAGGCTGACTTCCCTCATTGAGCTGCTGACACCAATGTTAGGTTACAATTTATCTTCCAAGAAGATACAAGAGCAGTATTTAAAGAGACTTTCTGCCCTTTCTACTATCATTTATTTACACTTGGGGAAGAAACAGTTTTCATATCATCTTTCGATAAGACAAAATGACTGCTGAGTGGACACTTAAAGGGTGTTTTGACTACTAATTCTTCAGTAGTTGAGGGACCAAAATTGCAACATTTATTACATGTGCTGTTTGCTTTCACACTGAAGTGTCTTAAAGACCCAAATGTTTAAAAAAAAACAGTTCGCCTCCTCGCCTGAGGTGGCACTGCAGCAAGAACGACACAAAAACCTCAGAAGAAAACATACTGAGGGTAACTTCATCCTTAATGAAATGTAAACAAATATGGAGTCGCGTCAGATTTTAGTGATTGTAGGATTTCTCTTCTGTCTTTGGTAAAAGATCACGAGCCATTTCTCCCACTAGCGGTAGACTCTTGCATTTGTTATTGTTGTCTTTACCCAGAATGCAATGGTCTTCTTCCGGTTTTTCTCGATTGTGCATTCACACCTCCCCAAACAGACTTTCTAGGCAACCAAACTATGAGATAAAATTACTTCATATTTCTATAGAGCTTTTCAGGACCCTCAAAGACACATTTGACAATGAACTACCGATTAGCATGAACAACATGGCTAGCTAACGCTGCAGTGTTGTGTGCTTTTTATTGACGGTTATAGATGCTCAAATCCAGCACATTAAATAGATGGAGGTTAAAGTTTTTAATGATGTAGCAGACAAAGCCACTTTTCGCTACTCTGATTAGCCTTCCTGTTAGCCACTCTGCCGGAACAAACTTCAGACGCATGTAATGAAAAAATGAAAATTTTTTAATATATGATCTATGTTTCTATGCATGGTTAACCTAAATAGTTAGATTTTTATTTATTACAAAGATGGAGACCACATTTGGAGCTTGAATTTGATGTCTCTCTTTTTTCCTCTAACCACGTGACCTGCTGTCCTGGGTTATTGACAGATGGTCCCTAGGATAGGAGAAAAATCTGTGTTGAGGGAAGCTTGTGATTAAATTTTGAGTAGATTCTATGTAAATTCTATGTTTATAATGCATATAAAAGACAGACTTTTTCCTTCATGTGGTTTGTCCACACAAGATGAAATGGAACTGCAATGAAATACATTGAACTCTTGGTATTCGTGGGAGTTAGAGACCACAGTCACCCACTACCAGCTAAAATCTTTGAATATTTGAGCTTATAACTACCTATTATTATTAAGCTAATATCTACAGTCTTCCTTTTCTCCATTCGGAATACAGAAAAATAGTACCAAGGAAAAGGAGGGGCACTCCTTGATTGGAAACACCAGATTTTAGTGATTGTCAAGTAGAATTGCACAGAGATATTTGAGGTATTTGGGCAGTTGCTATTGAATATTTTAGAAAAACATTCTAAAAGAGGCAAATTATTTCATAATTAATTAATAATTTGGAGTTAAGTTGCACGGAAAATCCTCAACTGAACTGCAAATAGGTGGGGGTCCGCCGTATGTTACAACATAAAAAAAAAACAAAAACAGAAACAGCAAACAAGCTAGCATTAGCACAGCACTCCAACAAAATGCTGAGCATGAAGACGAAGGAAGACGCGAGTTTGCTGAAGACTGCGTTGAGTCAGACATGTTTAGAACTATCCCAAACAGTAGAAAGGCTATCCTGCAAAAAACTCCAAATGATCCATTTCTAGCAACAAAAGAAAACACATGCTAAAGAATCCAAGCCATCAGCAGAATGCACATGGTAATACTGATGAACAGAGGAGAAATATTTTCCTTTTCAGAGAGAGCCTGATCAGGCTTAGAGTTGGACAGGATTAAGTCGGTGCATTGCTAACTTGCACAGACACAGAATTCACCCTGCAAAAACTGGCAGGTAGGGATTGCTTATTTACCACATGAAGTCATCTCCCTGCACAGATTGTCTTCAAGTGATTAAGAAGGTGTAATTAAAGTCTGATTACTCCCATGAGAGTCATGGGTCAAAAGCTTAACAGCTGCTAAGGGAAAACATTGCATCAACCTTCCTGGACTGGGATTGTATTGAGGAGCAGCTTGAGAGTCCTCATTTCCTGAAACAGCACAACCTACTTCACACGAGTCCCTCAGGAAAGGACCACCAATCAGTGCGATTCATGTTCACGCATTATTAGCAAAAACGTTGTTCCTGGAGAAATTTCCCTAAATATACGATGTGCAATATTTATTAGGACACCAAAACAAAGTGGAAACAGAATTTCCTGATTTAGTGTGAACAGAGTTTTTTTTTGTCGAGTTTTTAAGAAAAGAGAAGAGTATTAGGAAATTTAAAACTAGGAGGTACTTATTTTCAAGAATAATCAAATTTCCGCTGACTGTACTTAATACATGTTTAGAAGGACATGTCGGCACATGGTAAAAAAAAAAACATTTCAAAGAGATATGTGGAAATGTTTTTATCTTTATATTAAGGAGGCAGTACAATGTTATTCGGACACCAGCTGCCTTTGCATTAATGTTCTTCACAGCCAAGCCTTAGAAGCCAAAGGGAAAAGCCATGATGCCACAAAATTTTCCATTTGGTCGATACAGAACACCAAGACTTTAAGTAAGGTTTCTGCATGCGGTAAGTTTTTTCTTTATTTTTTATTACATTTATTTCCATGGCAATTTGTAGAAAGAAAAAAATGCTTAGACCATTAAAAAAAAAAAAAAAAACTTTTCTAAACATCCAACTCCGTTCACTGCATTTTGCTTCAATCTGAAGGCCAGAGGAAAGCTGGAGATGCTGCACTCCTTAAATTTACTGTTTGTTCAAATTTGAAATTATGAAGAAAAATTGTGAATCTTGTGATTACAAGAAAAGCCATTAGATAAATATCACCTGATCTGTCTCAGTGAGGAAACCCAGAAGCCAACTCTTCATGGCACATGTGACATACACTGTGTTCCTAAAGTATTCACACCCTTTCTCACACTTCAATAGATTTCACAGAGACTTTGAAGCAACACATATGTTATAAATATAACTCTGAAAGGCTTTGGTGGGCATCCCCTTTTTATTTTAATACCGGTAAATAAAATCCAACTGCAACATTTTAAGGAGGAATGCTAGACAGCTGTGGAGCAGGTTGAAACAGAGTTTTAAAGAAAAGGCGTCAGAATTGTGCAGTGTAGATGCTTTTTCTTAGATAGGGAAGCTGCTTAAAATTAAGAGCTAAACATAGGGGAGTACTGGCAAAATAAAACTGTGTTAGAGGCCACGACAGATATGGCCGCTATATATATATATATATATATATATATATATATATATATATATATATACAGTGAATGAACAAACGCACTATTGATTTTGCCCACATTATCATTGTCACACATCCATCCAAACAAATACTCCACATTCAATCCCAAAACACATAGACAAATTGCAACAACATGGAGCATTACATAATAAAATAAGACAAGTTTTACTTAATGGGAACCAGAACCGAAACACTGAAAAAAGACTTGTAGTGATGTTAACACCGATATATTGCGGATATATCTGAATAATTCAAATTATTGCATTACTGAATCAAGAGCTACAGAAGCCTGGAAAAAAATCCACTGATTATAGTTCAGCTTTCCAGCAAAGGGAAAACACCTACAATATCAAAGCCCAGACCTGAATCCACCAGACAATCTGCGAGACTTTAACTTTGATGTCGGGGGTTCTGTGTGGCTCGGCTGGTGGAGCAGGTGCACCATGTGCAAACTCTGCAGTCCTAACGTTTTAGACTTATGTTTTGAAAAAAAGAAAAACCCATGTCGCTTCTTCTCCACGTCACAATTTTGTGATACTTTGAGTATCACTCAGCTCATGAGTGAAGACTTTTTGCAAGACATTGTATATGCAACAGCTGGCATGAATCTATTCCTCCTTATTTCTGGTTTGAATCAAGGCAACAGTGCCTGGAAATGTTGAACACAAACATTTCTCACTTATAACATATAACATATTCAAATTCATTCACCATTACGACTGTCAAAATTATCACATGTATTTTAGTCGGGACAAAGCACTTCATAAGCTTAAATATCACTCAACTGGTGTTCCAGTTGAAGTTTAGGATGTTTCATCAGCATAGCTGTAATAAATCCTAGTGACACAACATCCTCACACAATTTCTTTCATATTGTGGGGGTTTTCTGCTTCCTTCGTTTTTAACCTTGTGTCTGAATGTGGCCTGATGCGAAAGTAACCTAATACTTTATGTGCAAAAGTACAAACAGAAGAGTAATCCTGTATTAAATTAATGGGTGCATGCTGAGTTGAGGGTTACCTTTAAACTTCCTGCAGAGCATCTCGTTTACCACAATAGAGGTGCCAAATATATCCATATTTATGTTGTGAAAGTGGAAGAGAACACAAAAAAGGAACACAACATAAAAGTAACAATACAGAAATATTCCAAAAGTAATCCTACCTTTATTTCCCTCTTTGGGATTACTGGAAGAAAGTTGAAGCCCTTTCAGTGTATTGAAATCTGCAGAGATTGAGAAATACAGACAACTCTGTTACACAAATAGATTACCTAACTATAATTTGGCTGTGGAGGACCACGCCAGCATAGTAAACAGACCCTGTCATCTGGGAGCAATGCTTGTTCTGGGTTTCTGTCATTCATGAGTGGAAAAAACTTGGCCAAGCACCTACATACTCCCCCTAATGACCACAGGGCAGCAAGTCTGGTATGTCAAGGTCCAGGCACCAAACATGGGGCATGTTTGCCCATACTGCATTGGAAAACAACCACAAGATGAAAAAAAAACTGGTAGGTGATATCATATCTGCTGACCAAATGGAGATACACTTCTATAAATGTGGGGAAGATTTAATCAAGCCTCCAGCTATTTCTACAGTTGGCCTGCTGGGGGCAGCAAGGTGCCCTCCTGAACTGGTATAAACCTCCTACTATCAGTAGAAGAAGAGGACCTAGACTAATCCGACGTGAAGCTGTTAGCGTAAAAAAAAAAAAGAAATGTAATAAAGAGTAAAAACGTTGAGAGAAGTTTCTTTTCAGTCGGTGTCGAACAACAGCCATGTGATTGGTTACAAGTCTTCAGATTAACGGCATGAAGGAGAAATGCTGGCAATCCCACTTTTCCACCAGTTCAAGAGTCTCATAAGTTTTGTACTTGAGTGTTCTCGAGAGATGTCTCAGCTTGAACAAATTGCTATTTAAATAAACCAATAAATGAGTTGATACGTTTAACATGCAGATTTCTGCTATGACGACATATACTACACAAATTTGTCCAATAAAAAACGTGAGTAGCTGCTACATTCAAAATTGCCCCAACCAGTGTCATTCATTGGCAATATCAAACATAACCATTTAGATCTGGTGCCTAAAGAATCAGTTGGAAATACGTGTCGTCAGTCAACTATTTTATTCATGTGAGGAAATGTATGTGTTTAAAGCCAATTTAGGTCCCTATTTTCTATAATGAATGCCTAAAGCAGAAATTTCAGGTGAGCACAAGGTATTTAACAGAGCTAAATCCCAAATAATGCTCCAAACCACAATGAATTCATATTTAGTTATAAGAGAGTTATAATAAACTTGTAACAAAATTACACGTTTCTTAATGCCAGTGATCATTTTGGTTGCCAAGCAGGGTAAACTGTAAAGAAATGTTTCAATGAGCAGAAGCCACTTGCTGCTTGGTTTCCTTTACCTAAATAAACTCTTTCAACAACAGAACCAGGTGAGTCAATAATGTCTGTTTGTTGGCTCAATAATTCTGGTGTCTGGTTACATAATCATTTATGTATTATTGACGAATCTGTTTAGTGTGTAAACAACCCAGGCAGTACACTCACAACAGGACATGGAGGATCCTGTAGTTGGTAAAAACATTAAACTGTCTTTTCAAAGACAGAACGTCAGAGCAAAACAGCCAATCGCCCTTCAGTATTTCTCTTTTAAACTACTAACAAAAACGTCACCTGCAATACAGGGAAATGCACCGTGTTACATGTTGCACCCATTCTGGAGAGTCCTACACATATTTCAAGCAAGTATTGGCATGTTAGTGTTATGCCATGCATGTTGTGTAAGGAACTAAGAAATGCTTTTTAGGCCCAAATCTGTTCAAAACAACATGTACTCGACCTTATTTTGGGTACATATTTACCAAGAATATCTCTCTGTCTGAAAATATCATTAGGCTATCAGTAGAAGACCACCAATAAAAATTCCACAATATCTTATTTATTAAATATATGCATACAATTATTGTGATTTAAATTATTGAGGGAGGCTGCCAAATGCCAGACAGTACAACGGGAGGAGCTGCAAGTTCGTTAAATCGCCACATCCGGCTCATCCATCTGCGGGATCAGCTCAGACCAGGAACACACACGGCTAATGAGATTATTGGTCCGCACAACAATGAGTGATCATGAGAGATCACACATCAGACTGTCCGTAACCGCCTACAACAAACCAATTTGTAATCTCTGCAAATTCCGCAACCTGAGCCCTATCATGTTCAAAGGACTGTCAATTTGCCACAAATGGCCAAACCACGATGATATCAATGCCAATATGAATATCAATAATTACTGAAAATATAGTTTTGAGTTTCTCTTATACTGCGTAACCCAAATGTTTATAAAACTCTTATATTTGACGTAGGGCATTTATATTTTTGTTTAGTATATTATGAAATTTGTTCTCATATGCAAACTGTACTCAATAACACAGCTAATAACTTAGATGTATTTTTACGCTCGTAAAACATAAACCATTTAGAGTGACAAGCCAAACCATTTAAAGTGGTTTACAGTCCAACCTTTACTCTTCCAAGACCCTGAATAATTAATCATTTCTTCATGACCTTGAACTCAGTGCCATCCAGGAGACATTTCTGCTGTACAAGTACAACTTACTCTTCCTTTGGCCACAAGAGGAGATCTCGAAGGGAAATAATCCCTGAGCAGCGATCTGTTTGAAAACCGTTTGGGAATATTTGTGAAACTACGTCTGGGTACTAAGGAGAACAGATTTTGACAGTTTTTGACTGGAATGAACATATTCTCCTTTAATAAATGATTATTTCTTCTGAAATATTAATGCATAATCTGTATCAGCGAATTAAAATGATGAGTTTTATCTCAATTGGCTTTTTTCCTCCACTCATTCTTACAGTGGGGGAAAAACATATGCCAATCACAGAAACATTATGTGGTAATTTTTTGTGAACTGTATCTAATCTGACACAGTTTTGCTCGTGATAACAGGTGGAGGGTTATTTCCCCCCTCCTTTTAAAAATCCATCATCCAGAATCAAACTCCTTCAAGAGTATCCTCATTAAAATATACCAAGAAACACAAACAGAAGAAGCTACCAGGGGGGCCCGGGCTCAAAGGCAGCCGAGGCATTTATCTTTCAACTTAAACATCATCAGCGCTATCAAATGAGCCCCTTTTTAGCCGAGATTTTAAAGACAGTTCTGTTTAATGTTGGTTGAGTTGAAAATGTGTCGCAGTGATGCAGATGTATTCGGTTTGATGACAGCTCTCCCTCAGGGGACCTTGTGTTATTGATTTGAAATTCACATCTAAGCCAAACTTTGTGTTTGGTCTTTTTAAGAGAAGAAAGTCAGGATTTATTTTTCATTTCATAACGGAGTCACATCTAAGGTCTCGACCGACGTTCTTGTTGCTCTCACAAAGAGGGAGCGGAGCGGAGGCTCTAAACTTTCACAAAGGTTTTCGGTTAAGGCGGCAGGAGGCAGGAGACCTTCACATGAATAACAGAAAACCTACCCACTTAACATGAAGGACCTGGACTGACTCTCTGTAACTATGGTGTACAAGTTCATTCACACTACATAAGAATTTCATAACTCATCTCTTCTTGGATAGACAGGGTTTTGCAATCCAGACGGTAATTAGAAGGTGAATATAAAGAACCCTCCAGAGAGGATCATTATAACAGCGCACACTGCTTATTTCTGTCCAGCATAACCTAGAATCCATACCACTGTATATGACTTCTATGCATATTTGACTTTATCATAACACCCTGACTGATGGGGAAAAGTATCAGTGACTTTCCGGTTCGGTGTAAATCTCCCTCGACGAAGCAGAACTAGTTAGTGTCATTTGGGTATTATGAGTCTGAGAGAAGCAAGGATGTGGGGTATCTCAAAGCTGTCTCAGTCCATTTTCATTCAACATTCACAAGCTCCCCCTTGTTCAGATCATGCAGTGTTACATCATGCCTTACCACACCTTGGCTGATGACATTTACATTTCTTCGTCACCACAAAACTACAGTCCTTTAAAGTTATACAGTAAGTGACTACATGCTTTATGCTTGAGTAAATGGGGCTGAATTTACTCAAGCTTTAATCTAAAAAAGCATGTCTGCTTTTTGGGCTTAGAAATGCATTGTTGGGAGATGAGCACCTAATGATAGGGTGGTGCTAAAACTTCCAGTGTGTCATAAGTAAGTTTAAAGACTAAAATTTGAATTTTGTTTTACAGCTGTTATCTAAAAGGAAGAAAAGAAAAACTCGAGCATTAGTTTTTAGTAGGCTTGATTATTGTAACATACCAGTCATGCTATGCTGACTTGCCTTGTATTTCTATGCAATATCAAGATAAACAGCTTTAAATAACGGTCTGCTGACCTGATATTGCAGCATATGTCATTTGATCTCAAGCTAAACCACACCATGCCAGTTATTTTGAACTTCTTGAAGAAATTTTGTAATATGACTTGCAACTTTTAGACACATATATACACTCTACGAATTTGCAACCACCTCAGAATTTATGAAAATTGTATGCAAATTTGTAATGAAATGTCCGCATGTAAACTAAGTTCATTTTGTAACAATGGAAATTTACTCACAGCAGCATTCTAAATGCTTAGATTTGCTGAAACTGCAGGGGAATTGGCTCAATTTTTCCAATCATTTCAGTGAATACAAATTTTGACCAACTGGAGGAGTCAGAATGTAGCTGTAAAAGCAAATAAAGTGGAAATATTCACAAAAAGGTATAAATTTTATATATATATATATATATATATATATATATACACACAACAAAAATAATACTGTGCGGTTATTTAAAAGACTGTATAAACAAATAATTTTTCAGCCAAACATGGTCTGATCCATAATTTGGAATGGAACAAGTTAAAAAGTACCACTGCACTGTAAATGTTTCACCCTTCAGCCTGAAACACACACATAATAAACAATACTTTATGCTTTGCGAATGCAATTAATTTCCTCACATTCAGATCCAAGTCAAAAAAATTAGGTAGCCCAACATAAGCGACTGGATAAACAAAGATAAAAAAGTGTCCTCACATGTATCAGACATAACTCAATAAAGAAGAAGAGTCAGCGAGGAAGCGCCAGCCAGAGTCTTGGCTAAGGACAGGGATTATAAGGCACCAGTCTCTAAACTACTGTGCTCCTTGTTAGTAAAATGGTAGATTTAACATCTCCTTATTGGTTTGAGCACAACTGCAGTTTGGAGTTGCTAAACAGGTGTAATAGAAAAACTATATATTAAAAAAAATAATAATAAATCGCTCAGATCATTTGAAACCTTTGTGTATCTAGGACCAGAACCAGAACCAAACAGGGCACCAGACCGTTTCTCTGCTCCTCAGCATTGGAACCAACTTCCTTAAAAAGTTGGCATGTTCAGAAACTAATTTAAATCAGAACCGACAACAATATTGTTTAATGTAACTTTTTCTACAAAGATTAAAGCTTATCTCAACAGTTTATCAGTTTCTGTCATTGGTTCTTATCAATGTAGTAAATTTGTATTTTACTACTTCCTTTTTTTAAGTCATGCATAAAGCTGAATGCACCTCCATTAATGTATTGTTAGTTGTGTCAGCTTATGCTTCAATGTGTTGTTTGTTCTGTAATATCACTTTATATTGGAATATGTATGAGTCGTGTAACAGAAGATGGAATTAAACTCCATTTTCCAAAGGATTCTCTAATGTGCTTCCTCTTTTACAGATCAGCCTGATAATAGATTCTCCTGGTGTAAAAATATAGAAACACAAAGAATGAAAATTTAAAACAAAAATCACAACTTTATCTACTCGCCCTTTTTAAAAGAAAACTACACATTCACTGCTCTTTAAAGAACACATTCAAGCTTACAGTCATAATTTACTTATAATAAAGTGTCATTTTGATTATCAAAAATGGGTGTTACAAAAAAATAAGCCGCAGCTCAATTCAAGTAGTTAAAGTGATGTCACAGATTACGTATCACTCAAAGAGACCAAAATTAGTAATATAAACTAAAAGTCCTGCTATTGAGGCAACAGATGCCTTCACTTAGCCATCTGACAGAAACGCGCACAGCAACAGGAAGGAGATTACAGAACTTCTCTGTGCTACACACAGCTGAAGCAAACCGGAGTCGACCTGGCTTGTTTTTTCACAGCTCAATGAAAATGGCATTTGTACACAGAGCCACCTTGTATTTTAGAATTTGGACTTGCGTCCCATTCCCATGCGCAGGAAAGTTTTGTTTTCCTAAAATGCTCTTTAAAAAAAATAAATAAAAATAAAAAAACTGTCTCCAGAGTTAAAATTTCAGCCTCATGTAATGACTTAACAGCCCAATCTCTAACTTGACCTATAACCCCAAATGCATCACACATAAACAATAGCGGCGGGCTTCCTGTTGGTCTTGCAGATTATTCGATTTATGATAAAACATGAAAAAGCTTGACTTTGTCATTACGCCACACAACTAAACTCTAATTTGTTGTTTTGTTTTCTTGTTGTGTTTCGGCTTTATGCGAGTATCCTGTACTCCATGTTTCGTGCCACTTACAGGTCTAGCAAAGTAAAAATAGCATTTTTGGGATGTTGTTGGTGTTTCCATGTGTATGAAGACATTTCTGGAAACATTCCCATGTGGACAGGAGCCTGACTTGTGAGTTATAAGCACAGCAAGTGTCTTCAATAGCAAGGACTGCATTTGTTGATTGGCCCATGGAATCTACAATGAGACTGTAGTTGGTGAGATGCAAATCAGTAATTCCTTGGTCAAACATTGAGGTTCAAATCTTTTTATCAATTGTGGTGGAAGAGCATCTGCGACATCAACTGTACAGGGCAACCAGTAACAAACAAACATATCAAGAGATTTCAGGGAAACTGGCCACCTAACTGTGCATGAGAAAAATAACTGGAGCGTCGTCTGCAGCAGTGTTTCCCAACCCTGGTCTTCAAGGCACACTGTCCTGCACCTTTAAGGTGTTTCCTTTCTTCAGCCCAGGTGATTTCATCTGACAGGGCTTTGCTGAACTGCAATCAGCTGAATCAGGCAGAGAAACGTTTAAAACAAGCAGGGCAGTGTGCCTTGAGGACCAGGGTTGGGGAAAAACTGGACTACCAAACCTGCGCATCCACAGCTTGTCCACGTTCCTCCATTTTAGTGAGGAGCAGCCTGCCATGAGGAGACACAACCAACTTGGCTAGAACCAAACCTGACATTAACCAGCTAGTGTGAGACTTGAAATCGGAGAAGGGGACCCCTACACCCCAACAGCATACCAAACGACACCAACACATGCTGGGTTTCTGTGGAAACAAGGACGGAGATCCTTGAAGTGAACTCTTGATGTCATTACAGCTGCATCACTGTGAACTTCGCAGCATCTTGTAGTCAGATGAGTGATGAAACAGGTAAGCATTAAGCAAAACGCAGAGAGCGCATAGACTTAGACTTAGACTTGACTTTATTGATCCCTTGGGAAGACTCCCTCAGGAAAATATAGTTACCAGCAGCTCACAGGCATCTGATATAATGATCCTGTTGACGCTGCATATGAAGAAATAAGTTGCATTATGCTGTGAAGAGTAGCTCTGAAGCGCCTGGTGTGTTCTTTGAACTCCAGGCCTGCACGCTGATCTCAGAGCAGCGCTGAGGATGACACAGGCCCACTGTCACGTCTGCTCAACTATCTCTCTGCCTGAGCGATAAGGGGTCTAACATGTGAGGTCTGAAGGACACAGCCTTCGCAGAAACCCCACGACGACCTACAACTGCCTGCAACTTTCAACCACACACACCGTGAACTGCACTAACGTGGCAAATCCGCGCTGCCGTAAACACCCGGCCAGGTCTCGGCACACGTCACGCCTGAAAACTAAATGGATAAATAAATCAGGACAAGCTCCGCTTTTCCGCGACTTCAGCGAGCACGAGCTTCCTCGCAGTGAAACTGGGCGACATATTTCTGTGCAGAAAGGGGGCTCTCCTTCACTCTCCGGTGACAGTTTGTTCTTCCGCATTGCTCGGCTGGCGGACCACTGAAGCTAAAGCAGAGCCCACCACCCCCTCCTCTCTCTTCAGAGAACCAGGGAGACCCGAAACTTTTGACGGGCTGCACGCGCCTGTCTGCGTTTGTTTTGTTTTTTACCCCTGAACGCATGAATGAGCTCCTCTCTCCCAGCTCGAGCTAGCGACCTGTTAGCTTTGTTAGTCCCCCGATGTAACATTCCTACCGGGCCACGGCTATCCGCGTCGAGTCCACGCCCTCGCCGTGAACTCCGTCCGAGCTACAGTCAAACTCATACTCGCGTCCCGAGAAGGCCGAACAAAACTGCAGAGAGGAGCTGCTATACGAGCCGCGACCACCGAGCCGAGCGGCGCCCGGTCAGCAAAAACCTTTTCAACAAAAGAAGTGGAACCGGGCTTACCTTGCTTTCTAGGAACCGAGAGAGAGGCTGAAGTCCCCCCCCCCAAGCCCCCCCTCAAAAAAAAAACAACTAGAAAAAAAACAGCCCCCCACCCCCCAAAAGAGGGAGAAGTCCAACTTTTCTTGATCTAAATTGTGGGAGAGTTGAAGGCAGTGACGTCACGCCCTGAAATTCCAGCCGTCTCAGTCAGATCAGAGGTTTGCCCATGTAAGGCAGCAGGCCAAAACACTGACACACACACACACACACACTGCACTGCACTCACACACTGCTGTCTGCACGGAGAGGGAAAGGAGCGATATACTTTAAATTGCTTCTCCCTGCGATAACATATCTCGCCGAGAAACAGAGACGCATAAAACGAAACATCTCCACGTTTACTGCACGGTCAGAGGCGCATTCAGGATCCTCCGGGTCTCTGGGCTTCAGGCAGTTTTAAGGGGGCTCTAGCCCACTCTGTGCATGTTTTGATAACTGGACGAGCAGATCACCAGTAGAAGGTTTGGCAACACAAACCTTCTACTTTCATATTTTTTCAAAGTAAAAAATATGAAATTGAAATAGGAGCTGTGTTTCTTTTAATGGCACCAAACTGAAGGAGAAGCATGTTTTGCATGCCCTTATAGGGGAAATTCTCGGAGAAAACCCTGAAAGCTGCAATGTATTCTACTTTAAAATAAATATATATTTCTTTTTTTTCTTTCTTTTTTACAGGCATTTAATGAAAAAATGAAACTATTGATACATGTGCTGACTCTGCCCACTTTTTTCAGAGTAAAAGTTCCAAATGATGTTGAAAAATAATATATCTTGAGAATAGAATGATCCAGTTGAGATCTGATCAAAGAGTTATAATGTTTTAACAATATAGGATCAAGTATGGTCCAGATTCATTTCAAAATGGCCCTTTAGTTAGAAACTAACTAAAGGTTTCTAACTAAACCTTTAGTTTAGTCATTAGCAGCTAACATTTAGCCTCTTTAGTTGTCCGCAAAGTCGAGTCATATCTTATACTATGTCGCCATTATTTTTCCCTCATATAATGTCACACAAACAATTTTAGTTTTTACAAAGCTCTGTCAATAAAACAGGGCAACTCAAGAACCACTTCCTGTCTTACTTCAAAATAAGAGTTTCAAGTATAGCTTAAAAAAAAAAAAAAATCCAGCTTTTGCATTTAGGCTTAATTGAAATAGCTCACATTTATTTCACCAGACAAGTGACAGGAGCCAAAGAGTGGTTTGGTATTTTTTTTATCTTGAGATTTCATAGCACAAGCTTTAATTAAATAAAGCTAATTGGCCTCACTCACATGAAAACAATTTTTCTAAAAGCATCTTTTGCTATTAAATTATTAACTCATAAATAATTGATGCAGTCAACCTTCACATTGTTTTGTTGTTTTGGGGGTTCCCCCCATTGTTGCTGTTTTTCTAAATGGAAACAGTTAAAAATAAATAAATCTGACAAATAAAAAGCACTAGTATGACTTGTGATGGGCTTGGGGTTAAAGGTTAGGTTTGATGTTCTCACAGCATTGCTTTAAACAGTTACATGTGGTTATCCATACCTCAGATAAAGGGGATTTTTGCAAAAACATTTATCATTAAAAAAAGAAAACCTTATCTTGGGAGTCCCCCGAAAACATGCTGCCCTGGGCTACTGCCTGGCTAACCCTACGCTAAAGACACCTATAAAGTGAAAATCAAAAAGAAGCTCTAAACATCTAGGGCTTTTTACCAATAAACTTCAAACATTTATTTTAATCCTCACTTAAAATCTGTTAATAAACGGGTGTTGGGGCGGTTGGACTCAGCATTTCACAAGACGGCGGCTAAAATAAGGACGCAAGCACAAAGCACTCATCCGGTGAAGTGTGAATTGGCATATGTTATAATATGACCAAATTCAAATGCAAACAATGTGCACTGCATGCTGCAGTGCTCCCATATCCTGTCATGCACCGCCTGTCTTCTGGAAACATGAGAGAAAGAAAAAAAAAAGTGTTCGTTGGTGTCTGTGGTTCCATTCTTCAACCATAATCTAAAATTAAGTGGATTTTCTTCTGGTAAATATTACAGAAGTAACACTTACCAAATCTCTGAGTTTAATGGTTAAAAATCAGACACCAGAAATGACGAAAGAGGGTGGTGGTGGTGGTGTGTCTATAGCTGGCTTCAGAGTCTGGGAATTACCCGCCAACCTACTGGAAGTGATTTATTTTAGCATTGATTTGCTTGGTTTACTAGACTTATATAGAAATAGCCACCAGCCCTGTCTGGTTATGGTTTGTGAGCTTTTAAAATGTCCCGCCGCAGTCTCCAATTTCTGTCACTTTTTCATGAAATATTCACCGTTTCATCATTTCTGCAGAGCTACATTAACCTCTACAAGCGTGAGGACAGTGAACCTTATTCACCCTTTACCTTTTAGATGTAAGCAGCTGTGCATTAGCCAGCTATGTTAGCCACTTTACCTGATAGAAGTGATTTATCAGAACTTGTAAATATCGACACTGCACTATGTGGAGCTGAGCACTTTTGTTCAGGTGTAAGGAGAGCTATAGCAGCGTCATGATGAGACAGGGAGCATCTAAAGCTCTTAACCTGTAGTGGGATCTGGCTGAACAGTAAATCACTTCTCTCATAGATATGCATTTATTTTTCCAGCTGTTGTGACAAAATACCTTTTGCTGTTCTCTTATTGTGTTCATCCTGAAACTATGTGTAGAAATTCTGTGTGTAATGTCAGTGAGATTAGGCCAAAACAATGAAGATAACAGTGAAAGGAGAGGCACTCGAAAGGCTCCACGGACCACAAAGACAGCTTTCTCTCTCGCTAAATGTGGTTTAGACGCAACAGAAACACAAAGATTCAGCAATATTATTGATGGCTTTGTTCCAAGCGCCTGCGGGTTTGTAACTGTTGTGCGTTACAAGATAGTGTGTGACAATGGTGAAAAAATAAGTTCAGTCCTGCCGACTCAGACGTTCGTATTAATCCCTGTGGAGAATTTCTAAAGACTGCGGCAGCTGATAAGGCTGCTTGTTTACATTTACGTGTCAAAATTATTACCAGTCATATAATGTTTCCCTAAAAGGTAAAATCTCTGACTTAATCCCTGAGCTCTGGTGGCGAATTTTATAGAAATGAAAGAGACACATAGACATTGATAATGTTACTCCCTCATCAAAAACACACCTGCAGTGTTGCTCGATTCCTTCATGTATGTTTAAGAAATCCTTTCATCTCCCGTGGCAACCATTGTGCAAGATGTTTGGGTGGACCAAGCTCTGCCTTCGAGGGCGAAGCTCCTCCTCAGAGCTATGGTTCCCAAGCTGAGCTGCATTACATAGAGGCCCTCCTCAACTCAGCTCCTTCAGACTAGCCAGGAGCAATTAGCAAACACCTGGTGGAACTGCACATCTGCTGAGCTCATTATAGGAGGTAGTTCTCAGTGAAATGATGATAAAAATGTTGTTAAGAGGTTGATAGAGGCGCCACCCTGTGACCACTTCCTGGAGCCGGAGTGTTGGGCAGAGCAGGAAGTTCTTAAAGAGGCAGAAGCCCAATTTCAAGGCATCAAATAACAAAGTAAAATTTATTTAAAGTCACATTTGATACATACAGTATTTTTTTTAACAGGTAACATACTTGGTCATGCTATAACATGGCACTGTATGGCTGGAAAATAAATAATACACTGAGTATGTATTTAGTTTGATAATCATGAAACAGACTTCAAATGAAACAGTGATCATACTGGAAGTAGAAATCTTTATCATTTAATTAGCTGAGGTAATGGCAAAACATGCACAAACATAAAGATCAAATTCAATTGACATTTTCGAAGGAAATAGTTCATTCAAGGTTTGAATTAATCAGAATTTCTATCAGTGACTCTCTTTAAAAACTTGTTTTTTGCATGTAGGCTGGAGGTTCAAAAACCTGAGAACTTAAAACATCTTTCAGTTTCCAACCACAGTCACTACAGTCACACAGAAGAAGAAAGCTCATATTTTTGGGTCAGATGGCCGTTTACATGTTGCCTCTCTCTTTCTTGCTGTGTGTCTTTCTCTTTTGGCTGGAGGGATTGTCGGCGTTGGCTCCATCTGTTTGCCCGATGAGGTCAGTCTGAGGTTGGTCGGCCATCAGTTCTGCGGTGCAGTCCGGTGGAAATGGCGGTTCCACTTGCTAGAATCGGAACCGAATTATGACCAGCACCAGAAAGTAATCTTGCTGGATTGTCCTAATGTGCTTGAAGGCAGAAAGGAATGCAGGCTATTTTCTGGAACAAACTTCCAGAAAACTGTAAATCAGCTGAAACACTGACTTCCTTTAAACCTCGAATAAAAACCCACCTGTTTAGAGTTGCGCTTCAAATGTAATGTCATGTTTTGATTGTTGATTCTGTGTTGCATGACTTTGTGTTTTTGTGTTTGTCATGATGCAAAGCACTTTGAAATGCCTTGTTGCTGAAATGTACTGTACAAATAAAATTTGATCGATTGATATTAAGATCATAGCATGAAGCAGTATGTTAAACAAAAATCATTGTGGAACCACATCTTCAGCGAGCTGACAAAGCTCGTATTTTGATACCTTCTTGCTTCTGTTACTGTGTTATTCTTAGTCTGACTCGACATTGAGAGCTCGACTCAGTCACAACAGCTCTCATCAGCAGAGGAGTTTATAATAGATATAACCTTAAAACAAAGACGGTTCGACAATTATGTCAAATGCTATTGATTATGTTTCCAGGAAGAGATGACTCCAAAACAAAAACCAGATGAGATATTTCACAGGTATGAGGCTGAACACTAATATAAGGTCTGCAAAAAGAAAAGAGGAAGTGTGCATTCGCTGTAACACTGAGGGTTAAAACTGATCTGGATTAATTGTGAGTCACTTCAAAAGCTCGCCGAGCTCTAAGCTAGCAGGC